GAGGGAGGGAGGGAGGGAGGGAGGGAGGGAGGGACCCACTAGAGCAGACCATGTGGTTCCAGTCAAGCCAGCCAGTGACTATACTGTGTGTTCAGGACCCACGTGCAGTCTTGAGCCTTTTAGGATAGGTTTTAAGCACAAACCCACATCCTGGGTTGACGCACCCCAGTTAGTAAGAATTTAGCCAGAAGCGGAAGTACAGGAGCTGGAAAGCACGGTGAGTATATTCAGGCTTTCCCCGAACTATGGTCTTTGGTGGATTAAGGTCTTTGTTCCTATTCTGGCAGGTGGTTCTGCCTGTGTGCTGGGTTCCAAGGCCTGAAGGGTACTTCCATCATGAAGTCGGTTGTACAGAGGTCTGGGGCCTGTTACACCATGACGTCAAGATCATATTTGTCTTTTTACATTGACTCTGTGTGTGTAGGTGTGTTGTGTAAATATATGTATATGTATGTGTATGTATAGGTGTGTGTATGTGTGTGTATGTGTAGGTGTATGTGTTCATCTGTGTGCATGCTTCTGTGTGTATGTGTGTATAGATGTGTGTGTATGTATGTGTGTATGTGTAGGTGTATGTGTAGGTATGTGTATGTAGGTGTATGTGTTCATCTGTGTGCATGCTTCTGTGTGTATGTGTGTGTATAGGGATGTGTATATAGGGATGTGTGTATAGGTGTGTGTATGTAGGTGTGTGTGTACATGCTTCTGTGTTTATGTGTGTGTTTAAGGTGTATGTATGTAGGATGTGTATGTATGTGTGTTTGTATGTGTAGGGAGCATAAGGGGGTGTATGTGTGTTTCCATGTCTGTTCCTGTGCATGTGGAGGTTGGGTGTCTTCCTCTGTTACTTACTGTCCACCTTATTTTCGGGATAGGGTCTCTCATTGAATCCAAATTCACCTATTTTCTAGACCGGTTGTCCAGCTAGCTAGGAGGGCCTTCTTGTCCCCACATCCTCAGGGCTAGGATACAGATGCATACATACACGGCCACTATGACTGGCTTGTTCATGGATCCTAGGAACGCCAACTCTTTTTGCATAGTAGATATTTTACTAACTAAGCCATCTCCCCAGCCGCCTACACTGGTCCTTTACGTGCATTTATGTAAATATGCAAATGCTATTAAAAATCAAGCCACCTGGCCCTCTCATTTGCATAGAATATAGGGTGGAAATTCTGGGCTGGCACTATCCACCCAGCGCCCTCTGTTCCACGACTCCAACTCACTTTCTCTTTGATGTCAGAGTTTTCTGGAATTTGTGCATTTGTGTTTGTTTTTATTTACTTATTTATTTATTTATTAAAGATTTCTGTCTCTTTCCCGCCACCGCCTCCCATTTCCCTCCCCCTTCCCCAATGAAGTCCCCCTCCCTCGTCAGCTCAAAGAGCAATCAAGTCTAACTCTCCATCAGAATGTAGGTTCTAAGAGGTGAGAGACCCTGACTTCCCTCATGCACATCTCTCTAAGGTCAAGAGCAAGGCTCTTCATAGAGTGGTGTCTCAGATAAGTACATTGGATGGAAGGTGAGGTACCAGGCTGGTAAAATGGAGTCTTCTCTCCAGGGTCCAGGAGTCTAATCACACCCACCAAAAAGATGAACTTGAATCTCAATTCATGGCAGCTATGACTGTGTTCTCACTAGACCACTGAGTTCTTGTGATGCAATCAAGTTGAGATGAAGTCGTACTGGAACAGGACTGGTCAATGTCCTAATAAGAAGAAGGCTATTTGGGCACAGAAGAGGGCAAACACTTGGAGTTAACTGTGAAAAGATGGAGGCAGAGACTTGAGCCACACAGGCATCCGTAAGGCCAGGGATCCTCATTCTTAACAGTGGCCAGAAGCCACATGCAGAGAAGCCTGAGCAGGCTCCAGAGGGCCTCCTGCCATATTGCACTGCAGGCCCAGCCTCCAGAGCATGGGGACAAATCCACTGTGATGGTGAGAATATCCCTCTCCTGGGTCAGGAGCACGTCAGGTGGAGATCACCAGGCATTGGAAAGTGGCCCAGGCCACTTGTCACCCAGCACATTTTACTCTGACCAGCTGCCTCTCTGCACAAGTGCTGATGATTGGTTCTGAGATCACGGAAAGACAGGACACCGCTATAAACCACGCAAAGACATTGAGGCTGCAAAGGGAGACTCCAGAAGCATGCTATTCCTGATACAACCCGGGGGGCTTCCCTAAAATTAGACAAAACTTGTAGAGTTTGGGCTTGGGAGTATGGAGGGGGTGGACTAGCTTGTTAATGTCATAAACCTAAAAGAAATCTGTAAAAATCTGCTGAGAATTGCAATATGATTTATGATAGATTCATAAAGAGAAGAATGCCTTTTTTTTTCCTGTAAAGGAATCTTCTCTACTTATTTTAAATCTTCTCAGTTTCATAGGACACAAGTGCCCATTGCAGTCCATTCTTTTATGTTCTTTCAAATAGTTGTGTATTGACCATCCCTGCACCGAGACTCTGACCCACTTCTAAACCATGCATGTAACTGATTTCCCACTGTGCCTCTGGCATCTAGGATGCTTCCGTCTGCTAGCTTGGGTGTGAGGCTATAGCTCTTGTGCATGTAATTACAGATGCCATATGGCGGTCTGTCATGCAAGTGCTGCATGGTTTGTTCATCCAAGGGTGTAAATCTCCGGGCTGTAACAAAAGGCTGAAAACCAGTCCGCGTTCAGAAAGCGCCGGCGGTATTTCCTTTCTGCATTGTGACTGAGTCCCCTGGAATTTCTTAGCATCTTGCCAATGAATAAACAGCACTCACGCCCCTCAGGCATCTGTCAGAACTAAAGGTCTCAGATGTAGCTTTTAGGATAATAAATGGAATATAAAATAATAAACACAAAACAAACACACGGTTCTTGTTTAAGTGGGAGGATTACGGTTGGCCCAGTTTCAGAGCGAGGAGTCAGGGTGATTAAGGAGCCGAGCTGCCGGCACCGCGATGAATTATGGAGGACGAGGGAGCAACCGTGTGGGAGAGAGCCAATTTGCTTGTGAAAACTTTAAAAATGTATGCTAGAGTCCCTGAAGCGGAGTAGCTCAGGAGCAGGAGCCCTGCAGCAGCCGTCAGCCTTCCTGGAGGGGAAAGCTGACCCTGAGGAGACTGAGGCTGCCCACGCTGGCTCTGAGATGCCAGGTAAGACGCGGAAGGTTAGACCGATGCTTCAGCCTCCGCCTGCTGGCTGGGCTTTGGGTTCCTCTTCCTCGTTGAACAGTCAATCATTCTCTGGCACAGAGGGAACAACGAGCTCCCTAGGGCTTTTGCCAGGGTACGAGGGGTTCATCTGCCCATGCACCCCCTACTCTTCTTTAAGGAACTCATTTTTCTTGACACCTCTAGCGGGATCCTGTGCCTGCAACCAAGGTCCCGCGGTGGAGGGCTCCTGTGCTCGGGAGCACCTCCATACTGCAGCTCATGGGCATCCAGTTCCTTTTGCTGCGACTAAACTCCTGCAGGCTCTCTGCGTGCTCCGTCCCTCTGGCCTGCCAGCCTTCAACAGACCAAACGCTTGCACCCAGGGGCAAAGGGGACACAGTGGTGAAGCAGGCTACAGTCACTAGAAAATACACATGCCTATCTCAGCATGCAAGCAGATCAATGTCTAGAAATATATTTATCACATCCCAACTTCTGTTTTCATGATTAATGACATATTTTAAGTTACATAGTCAACATTACCTTATTTTACTATTGTATTCAAGAACACCCTGTCACTAGTGGGCTGTGCTTTTTATACCATCTTCAGATTTGTGAAACAACAGCACAGTGTTGAGCTTCCCGAGGTCCCCGCTGCCGGCTTCTTGCCCTGGTGTGCTTTGTTTCTGTTGTAACTGGGGAGCCAGGGTTTTACAGAATCACCAGCCAAAGCCCAGGGCTTGCCTGGTCTCCGTCCAGGTGTGCTCTTGATACTTTGTATCGCATGGGTTGATAACGGTGGCTCCCACCACAGGCTCCCATGGAGTAGCTTCTGAAATCCCCCCATGTTCCATCCGCTCACCCCGCCCTTATTGAGAACCACAAGCTTTTTATTACCCTTTTTATTATCCATAAATTTGCCATTTCCAGGCTGTTATGGAGCTGCACTTTTGTGGTTTATAACCCTTTCAGACTGTTTCTTTATAAAAAAATTTACAGGCACACATGTATGTGTTTGCACATGTGTGTTTCACATGTGTATATGTGTATACACATCCACATGCCATATGTGCATTGTGTAGGTTTGTGTGTGTACATGTGTATATGCATGTGGGTCCGTGTGTGTGTCTGTGTGAGCACGTGCATAGGTGTGTGGGTGCATGGGTGCAATCATGTGTGTGTGTGTGCATGTGTGTGTGTCCTGGTTTCATTTCTGATGTAGTGGTAAAATTCCCTGATAAGAAGCAGCTTAAGGGAGAAGGGTTTCTGTCTTTCTTACATATCTAAGATCTGTAGTAATGTCTGTTTTCTCACTTCTGATCTGGATTCCCTCGTTCCCTTGTCTGTTCTCTGTGCCCCATCCCACACATCAAATTTTCTAGACTGTTTTTAGTTTAATCAACCATGGCCGCTGTTTGGTGGTTTCCATTTCATTGATAATCTGCTCTGGTCTCTTGTTATTTTTTCCTTTCTATCTGGGTTAATTTGTTTAACTTTCCCAAACATTCTCAATATACAAGCTTAACTTACTAGCCTCTAGCAAGGTAGGACTCTTGGACAAGCTGGAGAGGCGTGGCCATTCCTCTTCACTACCTCAGTGAAGACATTGACTCTCTATGAACTGATGTGTCCACAACTGTATTGGTTCCTCTGGGCGTCCCTTTCTCCAAAACCTATAGGTCTTGGCTATTATTCTCAAGGCCCAGTAATAGTAACTGTGTCTTCCTTTCTCAAGACAACACTAATAAACTATAGAAACAGCTCTCCAGCATCTTACTCGGGTCTACTCAAATGGAGAAACCAAGTCTGACCTTGATAATGACTGGGGTTTCCCCCCAAATCTTCGCATAGCTGATCTGTGGGAGCCTGTGCTGGGGGAGCGTGGCGCTGAGGCAGGTCCTTGGAACTGCACTACACATCTGGCATTAATGGTTCTTTGATCAGCACCCTCGGGTATACCTACCCACACTGTTTACAGAGTTCTCTGCTCCCCAGGTTTACTTTGATGCTGTGGATAGATCCACAGGGAAAGTGGTGGACGAATCCCTGATTTTCAACATTAGAGTCAGAGACGTGAATGATCACGCACCCCAGTTTCCCGAGAAGGAATTTAACATCAGTGTGAAAGAGAGTCACTCTGCAGGTGCGTTGGGTGTTCCACTGTGTGAGTATGCCTCTCTCTGCCCTGTGTGGCTCCCCTGCTTCTTGCTTTGATAGTGATGGGGACTTTGATCCAGGTAACTCAGGAAGGCTTTGCACTGCTCACATAAAAGGTCGCAGGCCCAGAGTCGCTGAAGGCTTTGCTCTCTGTTAGCTTCATTTTGTGTTGGCCGTGGAAGGATGTGGAAATTGTGCCGTCTGGAAGAGCAGGCATGTAAATGTAGCCTAACAACAAAGCCACACCTCGAGGGATAGAGATGGAGCCATGGCAGACTTACCAGGGGCTCAGCAAGTGTCTCATCTGCAGAACGATAGGGACATGACATTTGGCCTCTGGGTTTCAGAAAGTAAATCTTTACATGCCAAACTAATTTTCCTAGAAGGAGAATCTATTTTTATAACAAAAGCTGTGTTTAACATTGTAAAATAGTCTTTGTAAAATTCGAAGACCTGAAGCCATTGGAATAGGAAGCGTTTTCAGAAGTTTTAGGACTTTTTTCCTTTAGGTTTGACACGCATGTTTACCCGCAGTTGTGTTGTGTATGTTCATGCCTTGTCAGGTGTTCTATATGAGTGTCAATACACACTTACATATGTACTTTCTATGAGAGCAGGAAATGTACGTGTGTTAGTCCTTAAACGCTCATAGATGCTGGGTATCTTGTTCTGTCTGGGCATGCTTTCTGGTTTGAAAAGCTGGGTTGGGTCTGTGAGATGGCCCTGCTGGAAAAACGCTGCTAAAGCCTAAAGCTCCAAGGTCTAACCTGAAACTCCCGCGAAGGCAGCAGAAGAAAGCCGACTCCACAAACCTGTTCTGAGACCCCCACACATGCCCTGTGGCATGCGTGCCCCCATCATACAGACAAGTAGTAATATAAATACTCTCCTGCCACGTTTGCCTGCACATCTGGTACACTAGATCTTTGGTGGGCGAGTTTTGAGACGTCTCCTTGGTCTCCCGTGCTGACTGTTAGGAAGGTATCTGAGCTGGCCTGTGCTGCTCTCGGCCTCACTCGCGATGCTTACGCTCAGGGGAGAAGAGTGGCTGCTTCAGGCAGGTGGCGAATTGAAGAGGGCCACGAGAGCACACCAAGTGTTGTCTGTAATCTCGCCTGTGGCTGAACATTTTCACACATTTCTCAGCCTTTTCTTTTTTAATCAATGTCCCTTTCCTGTTAATATTTTTGCCATTTGCTTCCTGATCAAAGCTTGCTTCTTCTATGTGAAGAACACATACTTGGCACATGCATTTCAAGTGTTTATCACTCACTTTTAAATTTTTTCTGTACTTTTTTTTATACATTTAAAAACTTCATGTATCAGTTGTACCCCCGCCCTCTTCTGCAATATCAGTCCTAGCTAGAAGGCTCCTTAAAGTTTACCCTAAGTTAAATATCCACCTTTATTTTGCATAGTGTGTCTGTATGCTGATTTTTTCATTTAAATATCTCATCCATTCTGGTGTGTGCCCTGATGCCATTTTCAAAGGTTCTTCCCTCTCTTTACTTTGGCAAACAACCTTCAGCCAGCAATAACATTCTTAAAAACTTCTTTCTAGGTCAACCTGTTTTTCAGTTGTTAACGGTCGATTTAGATCAAGAAAACACTCCGAATTCTCAAGTCCTTTATTTCCTCGTTTCTCAAACACCATTACTGAGAGAAAGTGGCTTTCGGATTGATCTCATCAGTGGGGAAGTACGGCTCTCGGGATGCTTAAAATATGAGGTTATGTAGATTTTATTATTTGAATGCACCGGGGCTGGTGAGCTAGCTCTGTCAGCAAAGTGATTGCTGCCCTGGCAGGACACCCGGTTCCAGCCCCAGAACCCGTGTACACTAGTGCTGTGGCGGGGTGCCTGTTGTCCCAGAGCTGGGGAGGCAGAGAAAGGCTCCTCTCTAGGGCTTCCTGGCCAGCCAGGCTAGCCAAATGGTGAGCTTCGGGCTCCATGGGAGACTCTGAATCAAGAATGAAGGTGCACAGTGCCTGAAGAACACCCAGGTTAACTTCTGGCAATGTACACACACACACACACACACACACACTCACACACTCACATCCAGAGTGTTGTTTATGCCTCAGCCCCAGACTGGGGTCTGTATTTGCAATTGGGAGTCTTCTGTGGTTAAGCCTTGCTATAGAAATTGCTAGAAAGACATGTCCTTGTTAATATTTTCCTCCCCTGTGTTTGTGGGGCTTAACATTCCTTTCCCTTCCCATGTAGACTGCTCCTTGGTTCACGCTGATAGTCAGAGCGACAGATTGTGGAGAGCCATCCCTGTCATCCACGGCCACCATTCACATCATTGTGGAGGAAGGCAACAACCACATGCCCACATTTGTGGAAGACCATGTAAGGCATAGGGTGCCTGAAATCTAAGCCCTCTACAAAGGTCCCCAAGACCTAGGCTTATGTACTTCTCCTGGGTCATGAGAAAGTACATACAATACTCCAAAGTAACCTAAAATGGAACTGGGCAGTCCACCTGGGGTAGAGAGATAGCCCCATCTGTTAAATATTTGCTTCCCGCGTGTGAAGGCCTGAGCCTGACACCCACCACTCATATAAAACTCTGGGCATGGTGCTGTCCACTGAGGCCAGGCAGCAAGATCCATGGGGTCCATTCACAGCCTTCCTTGCCTAATTGGTGAGTCCTAGATCTCAGTGGGAAACCTGTCTCCAGAAGCAAGTTTGGAGCCATCAAGATGGTACAGGAGCTTGCTGCCCTCCTGACGGCTTGAGTTCCATCCCTGGAACACAGAAGGATAGAACTGATACTTTCACAGTGTGTTTGCGCGGGGGAAGGAGGCTCCTACATATGTATGTTCCTGCACACACAAATTGATCCCGAGAGGAGTTTTCCTTGATGACCCAGTCGACAGCCTGTACCCGTCCTGGATACTCGAAGCCCTTTGTTCATTCATCTGCCTCGTGGTGTTCTACTTAGTGAACTTGTTTATTCTAGTTCCTGCCTGACCTCCTCCCCAAACACAGGCATTCCATTCTCAACTCCTTGGGAATGTTATTATTATTATTATTATTATTTTACCAGTGCATACTGACTGTTGCATTAATGAATCAACCAATTAATTTTAAAATGGGTTATTTAAATGTTTTAATGACATAAACCAACATGGAATGTTTTCAGTGAAAGCTTCTCTTCCAAAAGTTTATACCAATGACAAAATAATGTTCCAGTTAAGCCCGTGTCAGAATCCTTCCCTGGTTTAGGAAAAATCTATGCACTCAAAAGTAAGCCTGGAAAAAAAAATACCTCACTGTCTTGCCGTGCTTGCTTAGAGACTCTCTACAAAAACTACTGAAAAATGAGGTGTTTCGAGGAACTATGTGTGTGCTGGAAAGATGGTCCCCTTGATCCAAATAAATCTCTCCCCATTGTGGAAGAGCTAGGATACTTACGACACGTGGGCGAGGCTGTGCATTGCATCTTAAAAATTCTCAGTGGAAGAATGCACTGAGTTGGACTGAAGACTCTCTTTAAACTTATCCAGCCTTAGGCACAGAGTCTTAGGGAATGCCGTTCATAGGGAGGAGCATGCTCCCGACTTCATGGCGTCCCTAATATAACTGGAGGAATTCAAATGCTTGAAGGTCAAAGGTGTCCTGATGAGGACCCAGCCCTTCCCCAGCCCCCCATCTCTGCCCTCTTCTCTATGGTGTGTCTTTGCATCTGTGATGTGGACATGATGATGATTTCTTTCAGTATGAGATTCAGATTTCTGAAGGTGAAGTCGCTTGGGGCGTGTTGGATCTCCCTGTTCAAGACGGAGACTCCCCATTTACACCAGCTTGGAGAGCACAATTCCACATATTGGACGGCAACGAGGAGGAGCATTTCGACATCATGACTGACCCTGAGACCAACCGAGCGGTATTAAATGTTATCAAGGTAAAGTCAGGGTCAGGCGGTGGTGGATACCGAGGTCCCCATCCGGAGGACAAGCCATAATGACTAAGGGGCTAGTACCTGCTAAGGGATAACTGTGTGCGGAATGCATAGTGTGCCCTGTGCCACCCTTAGAAGAACGCAGGACCATCTGAGCCCTTTGTGTGGAGGCTGAGGGCTCCTCCTGCAGTAACAAGAAGCAGACATTTTATGCTATCAAGATCTTTGACACCTTTTGTTATTGTTGTTGTTACAGACAAAATCTACCACATTCACATAAGGCTGGAGTTTTTATTATTTCTTTTCCTGATGTGATGAAAAGCGAACTTTAAAATATATTTATTTTTTGGGCCAGGGTCTCAAACATTGCAGATTGGCACATTATGTGGTAGAGGGTTCCCTTGAGTTTCTCATCTGGTCTCTAACTCTAGGGTGCTGGGATTATGACATACACAACCATACTTGCTTTATGTGGTGCTGGGGCTCGAACCCAGGGCTTTGTGCATACTAGGCAAGTGTGGGACTAGTTGGGCCACAGCCCCATCCTTTAAAATGTTTCTCTAATGAAAAGTTCTTCTTTTAATCTCCCGGGTTTAAAACATTTTTGTCACGACCACCCTCGACCCGCAAGGATGACGCGCGACACCGGAGCTCTTCTCACTGCAGTTTTATTCAGGACTTTTTACAATCGAAGATATATCTCTCTCTCTGGGCAAACCTCCCCCAGCCCTTAAATAGGCCTGGGCTACCAACCCTGAATAGCCACGTGGGCGCCGTTCATTGGTCCACGCTCACGCAAGCAGCCTGCGATCATCGCGTGATGATCGTAAGAGTCCAGCCTCAGCCATATATGGTGTTGTTTTTCACTGAGAGCACTGGCTTTCGGATAGAGGAGGGCAGAAGCCAGCGCCATCTTTAAGGCGTGGTTCCACACAGCTCTCTACACATTTTAAACCGTTGAAGTGTAAATATTGGGGCATTTGTGTGGGTTGTGATGGGTGCTGAGCTCAGGGAAGCTGGCCCTGGAGGAGGATATTATGACCATATTTTATGGTGAGGAAATCAAAGAGCAGAGAGATCCTTTACATAAAGTCATAGCTGAGAAGAGTGGGCTTGACAGGGGCAGGTGGGCGCTGATGCTTTTAGTCTTTGTGGCTTTCAAGGAGACCTAAGAATGGCCAGCACCTCCCGCACAGAACAGCTACCTTGACTGGAAGGGCCGGCCAGAGTCAGTGCCTCTGGGTAGAGTCGGGATTCTGCCTGTCAGATGAATAAAGTCCAGGAAACGTTCAGGAGCCGCAGACCACACTGTGAATACCAAGTATCTGACAACCCGCTGCACAGTTGCCTGCCATTGAGTTTGTCACCCTCCTGGCTTCTGAGTCCTTCCAAGTCCCAGGCTACTTTGTACCCTGAGTAGCTATGATCATTAGTATTTATATTTCTCCAAGTTCCTCTGATTTCTTTTTCTTCCTGTGGCACGGTTAAGACTTGAATGTTTCATGAGTTCCGGGTTTTCTTGCATTTTTCATCACCCTCTGAGGGAGGGTGGCTCTGTGTGGTCCAGTGAAAGGGAGCTGGCTTTTGATCACCTCCTCCCACTGCTGGGTTTCTGATGACTCTGCTAAGCGTCCTTCAGCCAGGGGAGCAGTGGGCACTAATCAAGCCCTCTCTTACCTCGACAGCCTTTGGATTATGAAACTCAAGCAGCCCACAGCCTCGGCATTGTTGTGGAGAATCAGGAGCCGCTCTTCTCTTGTGAGGAGGGCCAGGCACAGCCATCGACGAAGGCCATGGCCAGCACCACTGTGAGCGTGCAGGTGGTGGACACCAATGACCCACCAGCCTTTCATCCCAGGAGCTTCATAGTCAGTGAGGAGGATGGAGCTGGGCCGGGCATCCGGCTGGGAGATTTCAATGCTACAGACCCGGACAGGGTCACCAGCCAGATAAGGTGGGCACAGAGAAGCAGGCAGCAAGGCTGGCTGCAGGGTGAGGACTGTTGGCCACCTGGCTGTCAGAGAAAGTTGCTGAGACTGTTTCAGTCCCAGGAGTAAAAATGTAAAGCTACCTGGTAAACTGGTTGGACTAACCCAGTTAGCACCCTCACCCTATAGCACCCTCCTGGAGTCTCCCAACTTATCCCTCCCTTGACCCTTCAGAGTCTCTCTCTCTTTTTTTTTTTTGTACAAAAATGTTTTGTGACATGTTTCTATGTCTCTCTTTGCCAGATATCCTAGCTCTCTTGCTTCTGGATAAATACTCTTAATAATATTTATTGTTTTAAATGAAATACTTTAGTCAAATCTTTTTAATGAGTTGTATATGTGTACCACTTTAAGAGTTCAGTCCTTGGCACTGAATACATTCATACACCACCTAGAATCTGTGTACCCAGTAAAGCCAACTCCCTAGGCCCCGAGTCCCCTTCCCCAGATCTCCTTCCCCAAGCCCCTCCCTTCAACCTCTTTCCCAGTCTACTTCCTACTTCCCTGGCAGCCACCACTCTCCCATCGGTCCCCATGTCTTGACCACCCCAGAAATGGAACCCTACAGTGTGACCTCAGACCCTGCTTTTATGCCAGGGTAGAGGTGGCATTCAGAGACCACAGTTGTTAGTGTTTTCTCTTTCTAATGTCCTTCGGTTGAACTTCGTTATTTTTCATGCCCAAATCTGTTTTTGGTCTCAGATAATCTATGGATGAACTCATGAGTTTCTACTCCTGGCTTGTGAACACCATAAAACCACAGGGACTTCTAGAACCTTCCCTAATTGTTAAAGTTGTGCACAAGAAAACGGTCTCTTTAAAATCTATGACCCACTGGCTATCCACGAGGGATTACAGTGGGCCCTGCTGAAAGCATTTTCCCAGATGAGGAAGACGAAACCTGTGGAGAAGCTGCCCTTCTCTGGCCCTTGCTCTGCTGAGCTTCATGCTCCTGGCTTGAGTACAGGAATCCCTTACTGTGGTCCCTCCAGAGGCACAGTGGTTGGCAACCTGATATGGTTCCAATGGATGCCATTTGACGCCAGTCACTCTCAGAAACCCCGAAGTGTCCTGCCAAAGTGATGACTAGGAAGATGATCTTCAAGGGAGAGAGTCCTTTAGGATCTGCTACAAGAGGGTGAAGACCCACGATTCCGAGGCACACTGTGCTGAGTGGGACGCCGCCCTCTGCTGATACTCACAGACTGGTCTGCTCCTGCTCCAAGTGTTTCCCCAAGGCAGGCTGAGTTACACTTAGGCTAGCGCTCAATTGTGCCTTGCTTACTGTCCAGAGGTTCCGTCCATTATCATCATGGCAGGATGGTGTTGGTCAAGTAGCAGACGGTTCTACCTCTGGATCCATAGGCACTGGAGGAGAGAAATCCTCTAGGCCTGTCTGCGCTTCTGAAGCCTCATTTCCACTCCCAGTGACACACTTCCTCCAGCAAAGCCAGACTTCCTGATCCTTTCAAATAGTAACACTCCCTGGTGTCCAAGCACTCAAATCTATGAACCTAAGGAGGCCATTTGTATTCAGATCACCACAGGAGTTCTGTGATATATTTTGATTTGTCATTAAAAAGATATGAACCCTCTATAAAGCTGGAGATGGTCTTGAACTCATGACCTCCTGACTCCACATCCCAAGTGTTCGGGTGACAAGTATGCACCACCCTGGCTGTGACTTGTCTTCCGGTAAAGTTTTCTAAATTTAAAAATTGTGTCTGTGTTCCTTCTACAAGATACAAACTGGTTCACGATCCAGCAGATTGGGTGACCGTGGATGAAGAAACAGGAGTGGTCACCACCAAGCGGCAAATAGACCGGGAGTCTCCTCACGTGAATGGCAGCTTTTACACAATCCTTGTCCATGCGGTTGACAGTGGTGAGTACTGAGACAAAGCCGGAACTCACAGTGGTGACTCCAGCCTCTAAGGGAGGCCATTTTCAGCATCACTGAGGAAATTATAAAATAAACCTTGTTTTCACTTTGCCTTGATGCTGGAGATTATTTTTGATAATAACTCCTGAAATGGTAAGCTAGGGACCAATTCTGCTGAAAGAGGGGCAGTATTCACTCGGCAGAGACAATTAAACCAGCGAGGAAGCTGCCATCAGGCCCGCCATTTTCATCTGTTCAAAAGCTAACGCAGTAGCGCTTTGTCAAGCCCAACGACGTGTGATAAATATTTAGCAGCTTCCTATACCTGGGATGGCTCATAAGCCACAGCAAATGCGACTGAGCGGGATGCATTTGTCATAAACCAGGACGAGTGGTTTTAAAAACATGCCTTAGCGCATTTCTCCAGATTCCCACAAGGCTGCATCTGAGAACATTTTCAAGTAGCATTAAGAATTGTACCTAAAGACATCTGTGATAAAAGCCCAGGCTCCAAGGACCGTGGGCCTTCCCAACACACTTGCATGATTATCTGTCAGTGAAGCAAGACCCTAGTCGATGTCCAGGGAAGAGAAGTGGGCCAACCTGAACTCTCGGGTGTGACGATTCGGTTGGGGATGGTTGCTTGATGGCCATGACTTGTTTTTAATTTTAATTTTAATTAGAAAAGATGATTTTTAAATCATCATAAATTTCTCCCATTCCTCCCTCCTTTGTGCTCCCCAGCTCTTGTTATTTCCATCAGAATAACTCAGAGATCATGTGTTGAAGTACAGAGATCAATGAGTGTGTTCTAGAGAGAAGTGGGGGAGGGGCCTCAAGGGATAGAGTGGACAGCAGCCATAGGGCCCATTGAGGAGGAGAGCATATCTATGGGGTAAGGAGAGTGGCCAGTGGTCAGAGAGGCCACCCCTAACATCCACTTTTAAGTGGGCTTCATGCTATTCCTAAAGTCTCTAAAATACACTTTCCTGAGGGATGTTCCCTCCCTGATGATTGGCAGGCTCTTTACCAGATTTGTAATATGATCTGTAGTAGATTATTACCAGGTAGTCATAATCTTTCAGACAGTTCTGTTTGGTTGCCGTGTCTTCACCTGGGGCCAGAGTCCAGAGTTTCAGTACCCAGTTTTGTCAGCTGCTGAATTATGAGGGGAGAGCCACCCTCAGTGACACCCAAACCTGCTAACACCTGACCAGTCAGTCACCGAGCAGATTCACAGGGGTTTCAGCATCCCTTTGCCAGCTTCCCCAGTACAACACCTTAAAGGCTGCGTGGTCCACCATCACAGGCAGGAACTGCACGGACCCCATCTTTCCTGGGGATCCCACATACCACCCTTTTACAGACACTCGCTTTCCCTTAACATGTAACATGACTGATAGGACATACTAGTACACTCTACCTCATCTACAAAGGACTCAAGATAACGACAAGGGTTTGGTTGCTTTTTCTGGATGGTCTGACTTTTCATATAGGTGAGAAACAGACTGAGCACAGACCTGGGTGGTTCCTGACATGGGAAGAGAAATGGCTGGATGTTTCAGTGGGTGGATTCGTCCTTGGCACACCTGAGCATGGTCATTTACCAGGCCTGTGTGCACAAGGAGGGCTCTCTGAATGGATGCACCAGGCCCAGAAGGCCCTCCTACCTGCTCCCTCTCAGAAAACAAATGAGACGGGGGCGTGGAAGAGCAGTCGTCCCAGTGCAGGCTTGAGAAGCGGGGTGGAGAGTAGTCTGTCTCACAGGAAGGGCACCCCTGTCTTCACAGGTCAAGTTGTGATGGGGTGATGGGTGGGAGGACCCCTGCTTTCCTGCTCCTGGGCAAGCTGGCCCTCTTCTGCCGTTTCTGTGAAGGATTTAACTGGCTACTGCTTTTCCTTTGCAAATCAGGTTCCTGTCCAACCTCCTGGGTCCCCTTAGCACACGAATTTTGTAATTCAAATAGAAAGGGAGGCAGAGGAAGGAGGATGCAGCACAGGCCTCTTCCCCACAGGAGGACAGGCAGAAAGAAGCAGGGATGCCAGGCCAGCCTGCCTTTGTTTGCTCTAAGGCTCAAAGCTGGATTAAAAGGCGGTTCTGTTTCTCCCAGTTAAGATACTGCTGGGTTTCATTTGCTTGCTTGATTTTCTCTTAAGTGATTCATTTATTTATTCATTTAGTCACAATTTTATTAGTTCCTTGAGAATTCTGTATAATGTATTTTGATCATGTTTGCTCACCTCCATCAAGTCCTCTCAGATGCCACCCCCTCCCCTACACACCCAACTCTGTGTTCTCTTCTTTTAAAAACCCATCGGGAACAGTTTGTGCTGCCTGTGTTTTTCTGTGTGTATACTCGTCGTGTGTGTCTGTGTGTCCCTGTTCACTGGAGGGTGGCCGACCAACCAGGGCCACACCCTGACTGAAAACTGACTGGCTCTCCAGAGAGCTAGCGGCTGTTGCAAGCCCTCCTGGTTCAGGAGCTGTCGCACTGCTGGGTTTTGGTGAGTTCATTTTCATTCTCTCACTCCCCTGTTTTAACCTCCTCTCTTATCCCTGGTTGCTCTCCCTTCCAAGGCCTCCCACCGCTGACTGGCACAGGGACCCTGGTGCTTTTCCTGTCTGACATCAATGACAACGCTCCGACTCTCCAGTCTCATTCTCGACACTTGGAGATCTGCGAGTCCGCGGGGAACCAGCCCCTGCTCTTAGAGGCCGAGGATGGCGACCTGGACCCCTACTCCGACCCCTTTACTTTTGACTTGGACTCTGCCCAGGGAGATGTAGATGGTACTTGGATGCTCAGGACGAAGCAGGGTGAAGGTTTGTACGGGTTAGGAGCTAACACAGATGGCAACAAGTGATTTAGGGTAGGGATATTGGGGCACACAGTCTCAGGTGACCCTTGGGGAACCTAAAGATCAGAGTGTGTTGCTTGGGAGGCCAGCCAGGATTACTTACCAAGTCTCAGAAAGGATTCTGGGCACAAGGACTGGGGTGAGCTTGTCTGGATGGAGTGTTGCATGCTTGCTGTCTCTCATGGCTTTCCTGATTCTATGGAAGATGACTGTCTGTGCCCTTCTGTCCCCCAATTCTCATCTGGGTCCTGGTCCTCATAGAGAACAGCAGCCGTGACCATATGCATGATTGCTGTGAGTTCTAGAGCTTGGGACAATATAAAGAAATCTCTATTTGCCCTGGATAGAGAGGCTGACAGACCAAAGAGAGAACGCCATCCCAGTTCAGCTTGGAGAGCTGGGGTTTTTACAGGGGTAAGGATGAGTCCGAGGCAGCTAGCTTTTCATCAGGGCATCTCTGGGCAACCAAGAGGCAGTTGTACCCGATGTACAACTCCCAGTCAACTTGTATCTCTTACACAGCCTGCCAGTCCCCAAGATCACATAGTGGGGCAGGAATCTCAGGTACGGGTCTGGAGACCCCTTCATCACCATAGACAGACCACCGCTCTGTCCCACTTTACCCCATTGCCGGGCCAAGGTCTAAAGTCCCTGGTGGGTCACTGCTCTTTCTGTTTCCTGATGACAATGAGTGTATTATGTCTGGAGGACCTGTCTCTACTGCAGTTGTCCACCTGACCATGGTCATGGTAGGTTGTGAACATGTAGTTGCCATCAGAAGTGAAACTAGTCTTGGGACTTCTCTAATATTGCCTACGGCTCCTTCTGCCAGCAGCAATAATGGGGTAGCTACAAGGATGGAGGCCTTGCTCCACACTGCTATGGACAGAAATTCCCTTCTCCCCTAGGGACCTTCATTTATGCAAACCCAGGATTCTTCACTTTATCACTGAAAAGACTTTCAGGGTGAGCCAGACTGAAAGGCAGCTGGAGTTTATTACAATCAGAGAAATAGGCTCATGGGCGAGTATAAGCTATACCCAAGAGTGGGTGTGGGTTTCTCAAGGAAGAGTCCCAGTTAAGTACATTTATATGGGTGTAGGCAGAATCCTGTGGTTGCAGGAGGATCCTGTGTATGTAGACAGGGTTCTGTGTAAGTAGGGTCCTGTGTGTGTAAGCAGGGTCCTGTGTGTGTAGACAGGGTCCTGTGTGTGTAAGCAGGGTCCTGTGTGTGTAGACAGGGTCCTGTGTGTGTAGACAGGGTCCTGTGGGTGTAAGCAGGGTCCTGTGGGTGTAAGCAGGGTCCTGTGGGTGTAAGCAGGGTCCTGTGGGTGTAAGCAGGGTCCTGTGTGTGTAAGCAGGGTCCTGTGGGTGTAAGCAGGGGCCTGTGTGTGTAGACAGGGTCCTGTAGGTGTAAGCAGGGTCCTGTGTGTGTAAGCAGGGTCCTGTGTGTGTAAGCAGGGTCCTGTGTGTGCAGACAGGGTACTGTGGGTGTAGGCAGGGTACTGTGGGTGTAGACAGGGTCCTGTGTGTGCAGACAGGGTACTGTGGGTGTAGGCAGGGCCCTGTGGGTTGGGTGGGATCCTGCATGTGTAGCGAGTGGTCCCATGTGTGTAGCGAGGATCATGAGGATGTACACAGGATCTTGTGAGTGTAGACCAGATCCTGTAGCTTTTCTAAGTTGCTTGTTCAGATAACACAATTTATAGTAAGGTTTAAAGGTTACAGACTTTTCTTTTGTCAATAAAGCTGTAAAGTAGGGTTACAAGGAATGTTGTTTATTGTGCTAAAACCTCAAGGATCATTTGGTCCCTAAGCTAACACAGCTTATCTGTTATCCTCATTTGGGGGTCTTTAGGAAGACACCCCATCTGTAGGCAGTTTGACTTTATCAATGGTATCTAACAGAAAAGGCCACCCAGATCCTGGGACAAAGGGCCTCTTTTCTTTCCTATATACTCCCTGATTTTGGATTTTCTATCTTGTCCCATTTCCATGCAGAGTCTTGGTCCTGGGGGGAAGCAAGGAGATGCACATGGGCCAATGAGCCTGTTCATGTCTTCCTGCCTTTGCAGGTTGTTCTGCTGAGCTCGTGATGCTGAGAAGCCTCCCGCCCGGGGATTACTTGGTGCCACTATTCATAGGAGACAGACAGGGCCTCATGCAGAGGCAGACGGTCCACGTGAGGGTCTGCTCCTGTCCTAGTGGATCCAAGTGCGAGACTCTCTCCAACATGAGTCTTCTGGTGTGGGCCTTGTCCCCTGTCTGTGCAGCGCTCCTGGCTCTGGCAGGTCAGTGCCTCCTGGGAGCTCAGGGCCTCTCACTGACTGATGGACACCTAGACAGGCTCTGCGTGGGTGGAAGGAGGATGAACTCTGGGTTTGTTCAGGTTGAAGGTTGCCAGACACACTAATTGGCCAGAATTCAGTTTCCATCAGCAGGCAATAATGTAAACAATGGAATCCACAGAGGAACATGGGTCCAAGGGTGAGCATATGTTTGTAGTAACCATGGTTACAGAGGCACACAGGTGTCTAGGTTCCTGGGTTTGACTAAGGTTAATAAGGGCACTAGTTATTTAAAAAAAAAAAAAAAAGAGTATTCCTGGCCAGTTAATACTAAGCAGTGAGTTCAGCACGAAGTGTTAGCATCTACCTGAGCCCCACACACTGCTCAGCTCCTAAGATGATTTAGATGGAGCCTGACTCTGTCAGGTGGCTGCTGAGTGGATGTGAGCGGAACCTGGTTCCCTGAGGCCTCTGACAGGGGCGAGCTTGCTCCTTCCTTTCTGTTGTACCACAGCCGCTCTGCTTTCCCTGCTGCGGTGCCGCTTTGAGTTTGGACCCAAGAGGCTCGGAGGCGTCATCCCAAGTGACAATGGCCACCAGACGCTGATTGTGTACAATGAGGAGAGCCAAGCCCTCTCAGCCCAGGTAGGGACTGTGGGGCCGAGTGTTGCACGGCAGCGATGTCAACAGCAGAAATCCATAGAGCACACGGGGCATAGATTAACTTCCTTCATGTGTGTGTGTGAGTGCCTGCATGTATGTGTGCACACCAGGCATGTGTACTCCCTGCAGAGACCAGAAAAGAGTATAAGATCCCCTGGAACTGGAGTTATGAGTCGATGGTTTGGGGCCGCCGTGTGCATGCTGGGAACTGGACCTGGATCCTCTGACGAGCAGCCAGTGCTCTACACTGCTGAGCCATCGCTCAGGCCTTATTTCATTACTCTTATTCACGCTTGAGTGACACACGAGAAAGCACCGCTCCCACAATTGCATGTCACAGCCAGACGCGTTCGTGTTTCCCACCAGTGGTTCTCAGCTATGCTCAGTTCTTCCCGAGGGAACACTTGGCAATGCCTGGAGCTACTTTGGATGCTCACAATTAGAAGATCCTATGAGCCCTTGATGGCCTGTGCCCAGGGATATAGTCAAATATCACCCAACACAGAAGTGTCCCCAGTGTTGACGTGAGAAACCAAGCTCAGGAGAAAACAATTCTGCCAGGTTGAGGATTTCTGGGTGGCGTTGCTTTGCTCGCTGGTGAAATGTGAGCTAGCTTCTCTGTCTGGCACGGTCAGTCATCCTGTAACAGAACTACCGCTCCATCCTCCTGTAACACAGAGGGCGAGAAGAGGTCCCCCTGGTTTTGCAGGGACAAGGCTCGACTCTCTTTCTGCCTTTACCTCTTACTAGTTTGGTGTATTTGAGCTCGCATTCCCATTTGTGGCCTAAGGGATGGAGTTTGCTCCCCAGGTACTGAATTGAAGGACAGTACTTAAGGAAGCGCCCAACACAACCATAGCCTGCAGGGAGCCAGCACCAGTGTAGGCTGCTCTGGGATGGGTCACATGAGCAATGGGATGATGGTGTCATGAACTCTCCTGTCTGTCTTCACTGAGAACTAGGAGTGGCTGATACAGGAAGCAGCAAAAATGTCGAGGAAATCCTGTCCTTTCGGGCCATTGGACATGCCCTGTGTTACTTATTCTTTGCTGACACTAAACACTCAACAGAAAAGATCTTAAGGCGCACTGTTGTTCGTTTGTGTAGTTTTTTTTTCTTTTCTTGAGTCATGATTCAGGAGACTTAACCCATCACAGTGAGGAACACGAGGTGAGGAGCGAGTGGGTCCTCGGTGGCGGGAACATATAGGAATGCCTTCTTCATGGTAAGAGAGCGCAGGCCAAAATCCACAATGATGCTACGGCCCTCAAAAGCCCACCCAGTGACCCACCTGCTCCTGCTATGTCTTTCTCCCCAGAGATTCCATAAGTTTCCCCAAATAGTGCTGAGAAACGAGTGTTCTACACTAGCATCTTTAGTGCTCTGAGAGCTGAGACCCAACCAACCGCACTGGTGAGCAACGGTTAGGTTATTTTGCTGGCCCTGGGTTTTCATATATAAAGTGAGGTCCAGTTTCCACTCCCTTGCAGTTTATTGGACAATTTAATCAAAGTCATGCCCTCAGCTGAGCACTGACGGGCACTCGGTAAATTCTGGCAGCTGACCCCATTGGTTCTTAACATCATTTCAGCATGCGTATGCCCGTTTGGCTGTCCATCTCACCTGACCATGCCAGCCAATCCAGCCTCTACACCAGGGGCATTCTATTCTTTGGGGGAAAGATTCCATCTAAGATGCCACTCCCCCACATTGCCACATTCTACTGCTGAGATGATCGCTGGGGTCCTGTGGATGCCTGCCTGTTTGTGGGGAGGCCAGTGGTCCCACTGAGGTACCCATCAACACTGAAGTTCCTGGGGTGATTTTTGCTGAGTAAGGATAGGATGAGACTCGAGGGGCTGTTGCTGGTGATTTTGAGATCCGGGGTCTCATGGCATAATGTGATATAAAACCGGCACAGCAGGAAGTTCACCCTCTTACCCAGCCACCGAGAATGGCAGACAGTAAACATCCGCTCCCCAGATGCCAGAATAAAAGGCTCTTCCCCAACAGCCCTGCTGTCCTGTGTTTTAGGTTGCATGGTTCTTTGCTGATTTTTATGACTACCCTCTGACCATGGTCGTATTTCCTCCTCTGGTTTTCACAGATGCAGCCAACTGGGGGCGGCCAGGTGCCTGCTCTGTCCTTCAGTGCAGCTGCGGCCCATGCCAAGCCAGATGTGAAGGTAACACCCCTCTGTAGATGCTGTCTCCTGTCGGTTCTGCAGGAGAAACACACTGGCTGCTTCTCCGGCCCACATGTCACGAGGTTTCTGGACAAGGAACTGGAGGGGGAAGGGTTTACTCACCATTCAGTTCAGTGCAGTTTAGAGCTGCTTACAAGCCCGCCCTGGCTTCCTTTATCTAAGCAGCAGGTGCCTCCAATTCTGAAAGTCTCAACTGACTCTGGGCTGCGGAATTTCAGGGAGGACCAGGATCTCTGCTTACTCTGTTCATTCAGCCCTCCTAGTCAGGGCGGTCTGACTTGTAACCATAATTACAACCTTGGTTTCTGGGAAGACATTGCTTTCTCTTTCATTCTTTAGTCTGGAAGTTTCTGAGATCAGGGCTTTATCTAGGTCTGCCTAAACCTGTGGTGTGCACTGTGCGTGTGTAGTCCCACTGAGTTCACACTAGAACTACAGCAGGGAGGGGGGACTATGTGGGTATTAGTTGCTTTTCTGCGATAAAATGCCATGAGCCAAGCCAACTTACAGAGGGAAGAGTTCAGTTTGGCTTAAGGTCCCAGAAGGAGAGTCCATCATGGCACAGAGGCACGGTAGTGGTGAGAGCCGAGAGATCACACATTGATCACACACAGGAAGCAGAGGGGCATCTGAAAGTGGGGTGAGGATATAAACTCTTGAAGCCCAACCCCAGTGACACACTTCTTCCTGCAAAGCTCCTTCCTGAATGTGCCATAACCTCCCCTAAACAGAAGCGGTAGATGAAATCTATGGAGAGCATTTTCATTTAAACCACCAAAGTACTGGTCCCTACTTTACAGGGGAGAAAACTGAAGCCCTTTGGTTGCAAATTTTTGGTGTCCCTGGGTTCCCTTCCCAGGATCCTGCACACACTAAGCACATTCGTAATGATGGTTAGATCAGCCTCTGTGCCCACTCTCTCAGAGCTGAGGAGCCACTTGGGACTGTTTGCTAGTTCTTTGATTTCTGTGGCAAAGGAGATATCATCAAGTCAATGTCAAGATCCACACAAATTTCCTTTATGGTGTGTGTGTGAGTGTGTGTATGTGTGTGTGTGTGATATGTGTCTGTGTGCTTGAGGGTACACATGTGTACACTGTGGTTAGAGGCCAGAGGTCAACCTCAGGTGTCTTTCTTTAGGATCTATCTCCTATATTTGTTTGTTTGTTGAGTCAGGGTCTCTCTCTGGGGCCGGAGCCTTATTTAGGCTAAACTGGCCAGGTGGCAAGCCTAAGGGATCCTCTGCTTTCCACCTATCTCCCCAGGGCTGGGAGCCAGACAGACACCACAACTTCCAGCTTTTTAACTAATGCCAGTGCTTGGGATTGAACTCAGACCCTCACGCTTGTGCATTCAACTGAGGTATTTCTCCAGCTCACAAGCTTGATCTTCTGATGTAGGAGTGTCATATATCAATCTGTTGATTTCATTGGTTAAGTAATAAACACACTGCTTGGCCTCATAGGTTAAAGCATTGGTGGGAGGAGTAAACAGAATAGAATTCTGGGCGGAAGAGGAAGTGAGGTCAGACTCTGCTCTGCTTCTAGAGAGACTCGACAGCTCTGCGCTGGAGCAGAGACACCAGGATGGATGGAGGCTAGAATCTTCCCGGTAAGCGCACCTTGGGGTGCTTACACACATCATTAGAAATGGGCTAGTCCAGGTGCGAGAATTAGCCTAAAAGAGAAAAAAATATCATGGGCCAAGCAGTTCTTAAATGAATACAGTTTGTGTGTTGTTATTTCGGGCATGAGCTAGCCAAGCGGCCAGGGTGTTGGGGAAGCAGCCCCGCCGCCGATCCTATTTCAACAATTTTCTTTGAAATTTTGCTTTCTTATTGATTGGAAAGTCTAAATTAAAATAAAGAGATTGTCTTAGTTAGATTTTTATTCCCATGAAGAGACACCATGACCATGGCAACTTATAAGGGAAACATTTAATTGGATCTGACTTACAGGTGCAGAGATTTAGTCCATTATGGTCATGGTGGCAAGCGGGTAGTGCTGGAGAAGCAGCTGAGAGTTCTGCAATACCTGCAGGCAGCAGAAAGAGAGACGCTGGGCCTGGCTTGAGCGTCTGAAACCCCAAAGCCCACCCCCAGTGACACACTTCCTCCAACAAGGCCACACCTCCTAATAGTGCCACTCCCTATGAACCTATGGGGGTTGTTTTCATTCAAACCACTGCAGAGATCATCACCTCTATCAGATCTCTTAAATCCAGACTGATCCATTTGTCACCGTCCTTCCTAGACCAACTCCATGTGCTCACTGATTTTAGGGACCTGTGTCAACCACATATGCTCTGGACTCCTTGTCTCACCCCTTAGGCTTCTCAGAGCTGTTGTGATTTTGCCCTTCTTTCCCTACTCCTATTCCTGCTCTGTTACCCTTGCCTCTGAGGATCTGAGCAAGGACAGTAGTTGGCTGGCTCCCTGCTGGGAAGAAATGATCATGTTGGAGAAAACCAGAATTTCTCCCTGGACCTTGGTAGGATCCTGCCATGAACAGACAAAGAGTCTTGTGCTCTAGAGAATCTGTTGAGTTACAGATGGTTGCTCTCAGCTGCAGTCACCTCCCCAGTGACAGGCAGATAGTTCCTTTGAGAGAGAGAGAGATCCCTTTGAGAAGATTCATAGTTACTTTATAGCAAACACACATAATGAAAATCCATAGGTGGAGTGCCTTCTGAAAGCCGTGCATCCCAACATTTTTCTATCAATTATCATTGCTTGTGTTGGTGGCTGTTGTTTGAGGGGTAGAAATATTTCAGCTGGCAAATTGTACAAGCTGAGGAACTGAGATCAAGCTCCAGGATCCATATAAAACAAACAAACATGGTAGTCACTTGTCACCCCATATTCTGGGAAGGCATTTACCCATGATAAATCTCTCTCTCTCTCTCTCTCTCTCTCTCTCTCTCTCTCTCTCTCTCTCTCTCACACACACACACACACACACACACACACACACATACACACACACACATGTTGATAGTCCTTATCAAAGATGACACATTTCAGACCTTCCACAAACAGAAGCATTTTCTAGAACCCATCTGAGGGCAGCAGAGCTCAGTCTCTAAGTTAAAGCATGTGAGTGAGCCTGCACTGCCGGCAAGCAGGACCCTGGTTCCCACTCTACAGTGTCTGTATTTACCCTGCATGCCAACTCTCGCTTTAGAGCCCTGCTTGGCAAAGTGATTTTTATAGAATATGTTTAAAGCCAAAAGAAGCTATAAGGTGAGGGTACCTGTGACTCTTCCAGGTCCCCCAGAGAACGACTCATATGTTCACAGCACATGCCAGAGCAAGTTAGCTAATTGTGCTCTCTCAACTCGAGTCTGGGGTACCCATCTCATTTGGACCTCACCAGTTACTATTTTTTAAAATTAGTAATTTTAAATAAAAGTTTTTTATTTAACTTTTTATAAATAAAAAATACTTTTTAATAAAAGTTTACTTTCTTGGCTTATGAGGGAGAAGTATTTAAGGCATGAAGAGCCAGGCCTCTTTGAAGGAGGAAGCCTTCTAAGACGGAACTCACGATGTGTGCAGGATCTTACTGTAGCCTTCTAAGACAGAATCACGATGGGTACAGGATCTTACTGTTGCCTTCTAAGATGGAATCACGATGTGTGCGGTATCTTACTGTAGCCTTCTAAGACGGAATCAAAATGTGTGCAGGATCTTACTGTTGCCTAGGCTGCACCTGAGCATAAGGATGTTGTTCCCTGTACAGAATCCCCCAGTGAGGGTCCAGCATTGAAGTCATGATCCCCTAGTCCTGCAAGGCTGGTATTGTAGACATGGAGCCTGTTCAGTGATCCAGCACAGGGCCTGTGCGGGAGTCACACTTGGACACCCGTGAAGGGTTTAGCCTTCTGCTGCTCCCACCTACTCAGTCTTCAGTTTTTAACCAAAGGGACCTTGCTATTTCTTTGTTCACCCAGACCCGTCATGCTGCATGGCCAGTCTTGCATTCTAGGGATTGAGTCCATTCACATGTTGAGGAAATGGCCATGACCCAGGGTGCCTCACTAGGTGTCTGAGAACACAAGGTCAGGTCTGACAGCCTCATGCCCCATTGCTACACAGCGTGTAAACCTTTGTGAGTGTCCTCATGTGTGCTTTCTTCAGTGAGTGTCCCCATGTGGGCTCTACAGTGAGTGTCCCCATGTGTGGGCTCTCTGCAGTGAGTGTCCCCATGTGTGCTCTACAGTGAGTGTCCCCATGTGTGGGCTCTCTGCAGTGAGTGTCCCCATGTGGGCTCTACAGTGAGTGTTCCCATGTGTGGACTTTCTGCAGTGAGTATTCCCATGTGTGGACTTTCTGCAGTGATTGTCCCTGTGTGGGCTCTACAGTGAGTGTTCCCATGTGTGGGCTCTCTGCAGTGAGTGTTCCCATGTGTGGGCTCTCTGCAGTGAGTGTCCCCATGTGTGGACTTTCTGCAGTGATTGTCCCTGTGTGGGCTCTACAGTGAGTGTCCCCATGTATGGGCTCTACAGTGAGTATTCCCATGTGTGGGCTCTCTGCTGTGAGTGTCCCCATGTGTGGGCTCTCTGCTGTGAGTGTCCCCATGTGTGGGCTCTACAGCGAGTGTCCCCATGTGGGCTCTCTGCTGTGAGTGTCCCCATGTGGACTGTCAGCTGTGAGTGTCCCCATGTGGACTCTCTACAGTGAGTGTCCCCATGTGGGCTCTCTACAGCGAGTGTCCGCATGTGGGCTTTCTGTGGTGAGTGTCCCCATGTGGACTGTCAGCTATGAGTGTCCCCCTGTGGACTCTCTACAGTGAATGTCTGCACTGCAGTCCATAGGATTCTCCCCTTCAGCAGTGAAGTGAGAGGTCATCTCAAGGACTCCTAGTCTTGCATTTAGCACTGTCTCTGGTTTATGTGAAATCAACAAAAGTTCATTCTTCTTAAATTTAAGGGTCATGGCATGTTCTTTGAGCCAAGAAGCATGAGAAACCGATCTTCCACCCCGGTAAGCATAGCTGTGCATGGTGCCATGAACATTACCTTGTACAAAACTACTAAAATATAGGTGGTTTGGGAGAGAAGAGTGGGTTCACAATATAGTCAATACCCAACACACCTAGAATAGAGTATGGAACATGGACCAGAAGTGGTTGACACAGGATGAGGGTGATGAGTCAGTCTTAAGGTGCCCAGGCAAGCATGAAGGTCTGAGTGTGTGGGGGGAGGGTGGGGATAGGCACCTCACCGGCCTGTTGTCCTAGCCAAACTGATGAGTTTAAGGTTTACTGAGGGACTGTGTATCAAAAAATAAACATTGAGGCCAGGGAGATGGCTCAGCAGAGAAAAGTGATTGCTGCCCAAAGCTAATGACTGCAGTTACCTCCCAGGAATCCATGGTAAATGGTAGGAGAGAATCAGATCCTGCAAGTTGTCCTCTGACCTCCATACACACTCTGTGGCCTAGACAGAACAATACTCACAGAAAGGCTTGTACGCATGTGTGCACACATGCACACATGAGCATGCATGCATGCACACGTGCGCACACACACACAGGAAATTTTGAAGATTAAAAAAAAGATAGAATGGCTCCAAACAATTAACACTAACTTCAAGCTTCCATGCATGCGTGCACATACATGCATGTACCAGAGACATGTATGTACCGAAGACATGCCTTCATTCACATACACAAAATGAGCAGTTAAACCTCAGGTTTCTAAGGATGTGAAGGCCCACAGGCATCAGTCCCTGCAAATTCATTTTGGCTGCTGCATTGCTGCATGCTTGCTCCAGCAGAAGTGTATCTGCACTTGTCTTTGCACTGACAGGCATTTTGAGACTCGAGCTGCTGGAGATGGGGTGGATGGGAGAGACCACCCGATCTATTCCTGCTCTGAGCCCCGTGTTAGCAGATTCCTTCTTTTCCACTGAAATCCACCAAGTGTCCATTCTTAATAAGACAGAAAAGTGGATGCTTTAAAGCCTTTCCGTGATGGGGTATCAACATAACTCACACTTATTGACCAGAGGGATGGATTCAAATAATGATTCTGCTGAAACCAGATACCACAGAAACGTGGGTGCTGGGGTGAATTTGCAGAAGTATGCTTCCTAATACCCAATTCTTCTCTCATTGGAAATTGTCCTTTGAACATCAAGAAATGTTTGATATGTTCATGGAATCATCCCAACTATCATCAGTATTTAAACAGCTTTGGTCATCCTCGGAAAACTCTCTTTGATTCATTAGATATGGAAAAAAATCCTAATTCAATTTCCATGAAAGCCAGTTGGTGTGGCATCCCAGACGGGGTTCAAAACGGTGAGCACCACCTCCTGTTATAATGCAAAAGTAACCTTAGAGAACACAGCTGAAATGATCTGCAAATACCTGAGATGAAATTAAACTTCTTTTGTTGAAATCCTGTTGAGCAGTCACAGACCTAGAGACATGGCCCGTGGCCAGTGGCAAAGAGCAGAGAGGTGCCGAGTCAGGAGAGGGCACTGTCCTGGCTGCAGAGGACTCTCCTGTAGCAAGGTGTTAGGATGCTAAGTGACTCAAGGCAAAACCAGCATGAGTTTTCTTTAAGAAGAAGCCACACTGACTAGATTAGAAAAGACATATGATAACCTGTGGTTCTATGTTATACAAAGCCTGCATTCCTCCCCTTCTTTGTGTGTGTGTGTGTGTGTGTGTATGTGTGTGTATGTATGTATGTGTGTGTGTGCGCACGCGCACATGCTCTGGTATGCATATGCCTGTGGACATCTATCAATGTCCAGATCAACCTCCATCACTTTTCCGCCTAACTCTTAAGGCTGGGTCTTTCTGTCAACCCAGAACTCACTGGCCTAGCTATTCTCGCTAGTCCCCTTGCTCTGGGGATGCCCTGTCTCTGCCCTTTGAAGCTATAAGTATGGGCAGACTGCTGTCCACACAGAATTCACACAAGTTCTGGAGATTTGAACTCTCATTGCTTCCTCGCTTGGCAAGTGCTTTAACCCCTGAGCCTTCTCTCCAGCCCCAGAGCTTGAGTCTGAAGGAGTCTCCTCAGAGAAGCACATGGGGGTAAACTGAGGACACAAAGCAATGTTGCCATTCCAATCAAGTGCTCCCAGCCCTGGGAACAGGCAGGCAGTGTACCCAGGACTGTGGGGGGCAGCCCATACTTTGTCTCTGTTGTTGGATGTGTTTAGTTCAATCAGTCTTGGTGCGGTGAGCATGCTACTAGCTGCTGTGTATGCTCATCTGTAAGTGTCTGTGTACTGAGACAGGTCTGTCCAGGTTTTGTATATGTATCTCTGTGTGCATACACATGTGTATATATATGTGTGTGTGTGTGTGTGTGTGTGTGTGTATGTATATATATCTCGAGAATATGTAAAATTGGCCCAGACACTATCATCTTTATGTATGTCGTTTGGGATTGGGTGTCTCAAAGCTCAAGATGGTCATAGGTCAACTTAGCCACAGCATGCCTCAGGTCCTTTATAGGCACGGGCCAGCAGGCCTCTTCCAGTTTACTGCCCCAGCGGCTTGACCTTGCCCTGTGACATCCTCCATCTCCTGGCCTCTGCCCTTGCCCTTCCCCTCCTCAGTGTTGCTTGCCGGGGTCCCCTGCCCCACCCGCACGGGGACCCATCAACCTCCCTCCTGCCTTTACTGCCCTTCCACCCAGAAATGCTTGCCCCGCGGTGCTTCCATTCCCCCCTCACGTTTCTCCTTGCCCTAAGAAGTCTCCCTGGCTCCAGCCGGGTGAAGGGCCCTCTTCTCCCCTCTGTCATCCATGACGCCTCGTGTTTCTGCCACTCTCAGGTACTAGCCTAGCCCATGCGTGGTATGAACGGAGCGTAAGTGTGTTTGACAGCCAGGGCCCTGGCACCTGGCTGGCCTCCCTGCGGCTTCTGGAACATGGATGACCTGCTCCCTCTCTCTGGTCACTTCCTCTGTGGCAACCCTGAGAGGTCAGATGGGTGCATCAACACAGGGAGCGCCCGTGTTCCCACCTTAGAGAGTGGCCTGGGCTGGTCATGGGCAAGGCTAAGAGGTGAATAATAAACAAGGATTGGGGAGCACACAAAGGTCCTCAAGGAACGGAATTTGTAGAGGAGACCTTAGTGCTGCTAATGGGTGGATTCCAGTCGCTCTTCCTGTGAACATGTTTCTACCCAGCAATGCCGCTTGCAGGACCTCCCTCCTCCCGGCACACAGGGAAGTGTAAGCCTCTTGTCTTTGGCCTGGTTCTCCCTCGGTGTTGAACCTGTGCTAAGGGCAGGGCATTGGTGCAGGGAGCTGTGTGGCCAGTGCTCCTCAGGCTAGAGGCTTCTGGTTCATTTTGCAGGTCTATCTGGATCGCTTGGTGCCCAGATGCCCCCTGCCCCTGATGGAGGGAAGGGTGATAGAGACCTGGAATCAGGTAGGTTCTTTTTGTCCTTGCACTGGCTGTAACCCACCCCCCCACTTTCCTACCTTGCTCCAAGTCCAACTGGGGATCTGGGGATGTTCTCTTCTAAACCACTGTAAGAGTCAACAAAGACTGCTGTAGCACAATGGTGTCATAGCCTGGTGGCTTAAACCACGGAAGTTTATTGCAAACTTCATAGGAACCTCACATCAGAGGTGCTGGGACTGTCTTTGTGAACCCTCATAGTGCTATGGACCTGGGATGTTCAACAGAGCCTCTGGGCTTAGCTTATGAGATCTTGTCTTGTGAACCCTCATGATACCCCTGGCATCGCCATCTATGGTGCCAGAGTGGACAAGGGACAGGGTTGCAGGGCACTGTGAGCCTGGACGGTGTTTAGATGTAGAGCCTCTGCCAGGGTCTCCCAGCGTTGGGGTCTTTGCACTTCACCAGGTAAGTTTTACATCTCTGTAGCTGCCATAGACTTTCTGCCTGTGAGCTCTGCGTGTGGACAATGCCTGGTAGCTGCTGGAATACACCACAAGCAGATCCACCAGGCTCCTGAGAGGGGAGACTTTGTGTCCAGATCTGGGTTCCAAGACCCTTTCTTAGGCCCTGATCATTGGGAGGAATATTCTTGAGGAGCCGTTTTCTCCACCCCTTTCATCCATTCCTCTCCCTTCCTCCCTCTCTCCCTTTCTTTCTTTCTGTCTCTATCTCTGTCTCCTTCCCTCCCCCTCCTTCCTTCCTTGCTCTACCCACTTTTTTGCCCCCCTCCCCTCTCTCTAGACTAGAACTTCTATGATGGAACCCTATACCCTCAAAGAGTGTCAGATTTCCATCTCTGGTAAAATACCTGACAGAGAAAAACTCTGAGGGGAGGAAGGGCTTTTATTTTTCTCTGCTTCAGAGGCTTCAGCCCGTGTTGGCTGCCTCCCTTACTGTGAGCCTGTGGTTTGAACATCACAACAGTGGGGACACATTGGCACAGTAAAGGTGACCAACTCAAGGCTGCCGTGAGAGGTACAGAATACCAGGGAGAGGCTAGGGCAAGAGAGAGCCTGCGATGACACAGCCCCAGGGGCCCACTTCCTCCAACCAGACCCTGCCTTCCATCATTCCGGCACTTCCCTTTGGTGAGGGTGGAGTTTTCAGGATCCAGTCACAGCTCAGTAGCCCCACCCCTGAACTTCATTCACTTCAGTAGACTTTTGAGTCCAAGAGGAATAATCAATGAAAGACAGATTTGTCACCAAAGCTCCAGGAAGAAGGTGGGCCTGAAAACCAAGGCCCAGGGAAGCTACTCCACATGGCAGAGCTATGAAGGCAGAGCTGGGGCTAGACCACTGAGTCATCCACCCACGTGGCAGAGCTTGGAAGGCAGAGCTGGGGCTAGACCACTGAATCATCCACCCATGTGGCAGAGCTGTGAAGGCAGAGCTGCGGCTGACCACTGAGTCCTCCACGTTGTAGAGCTGAGGTTTGGCACAGACCATCAACTCTCTCACCTTGTTGAGCTATGAAGGCAGAGCTATGTCTGGGCCATAGGCCACTGTCTCCTCCTGGTGACAGAGAGACAGGAATCAATTTGGGAATAGACTATAGGCCACAGAGTCCAGGCTAGCCCACCTGGCTATTGAGTGATATCAGCAAAGCCTGAACTTCCTATCCATGAAGGATGCTAGCAGTTCCACCCCATGGCCAGAGACTGTGCCACCACACACATCTCTTGGTGGCCATGACATCGGTGCCCATTTTCACGTGTGCGCACACCTAGCTGGGGTCACGTAGGCAGCTCAGACAGGGCACAGGTCCCATGTATTGAGGCAGGAGAATGTTGAGTTCCAGTAGAGAAGCTCCCTCCTCTTTGTACCAATGAGACAAGCAGCTTAGTGCAGTACAACTTAAGCCCCGAGTTCCATGGTGTGAGAAGAAAAGAAAGAAAGAAAAAATCAAACACCCAGATGAGAAGAGCGGTTCTTTCCCTCCCGAGCCTTCAGACTTAGTTGGTGGTTTGTGATGAATTATTGATCTTAGGGGACTCTGGAATTGCTGAATCAGGGTGCAGAACCCTGCTGCTTGGCTGCCAGCCTTGGGGGTTTGAAGTTGAATTCTTGAGGCGCAGCCCCTGCTGCTGATTCTGTTTTGCTGTGTGCACACCAGGTTTGTCATGAATTATCTATTTAGCTTTGCCCAAAGGACGTGACTGGACTCCTAACATCTGGGCCAGGTTTGGGCATTCGCCTCTCGGCTATGAGAGCTTCCTTTCCTCACCACTACCCAGGCACGGAGTGGATGGCGGCAGGGTGGAGGCCACAACCCTCAGGTCACAGCGCTGGTGGTGGGATCCACTCCTGTCTGTGGACACATTCCATGCACTGTGGAGGCTGGGTTTCCACTCTCCTGTGAGACAGGGAGCTAGAGAGCATCTGGCTGACAACAGAGTGCACCAAATGCACCAAATGATGATGCTGTTAGGAGAACACGGGCATGGGGTCCTCAGGCTCCACAGCCTCACCTGCCCAGGCTCTGAGCCTCTGTGCTCCAACTGCTTTTGTCCTCCACACAAGGTGTCAGGAGTCCCTTTTAAGATAACGACAGGTTAAGAAATCCCGCTAGATCCTTTCCCTCTATAACCGACGGAAGTGGCTCATTTCAGTACCATCCTAGAATGCAGTAAATAGATTGAAGCTCTTCTTACACCCCTTCATCCCTTCACCTCTTTGCTATCTAGCCATCCCTCTCGCTTTGCTTTCTGTCCACCTGTCTGTCTGTCCATCCGTCTGTCCATCCATCCCTCCATCTGCCCATCCTTCCATGCATGTGTAATACATAATACATGTATACACACATCTTTCCGGTCATATCACCGTTTGTCTGCCCCTCCATCTTTACCTCTCTCCCTCCCTTCTTCTCTCTATCACCCTTCTCTCTACTGTCCATCCGTCCATAGCCCTAGGTGTCTGTCCACCTGCCCACCTACCCAGTAAATACGAATTAAGTGACTCAAGGAGAAAAAGCCAGGCAATGCTGCTAGAGGGACGTTTGGACCCTGAACACTGAGCCAGAGCTTCCAGACAGGAGGTTGGTAGCCGAGACCCTCATTCATGGAGAAGAACAACAGAGGCCAGGAGGAGAGGAAGCCAGTGGCTCAACAAAGCTGAAACCCAAGGCAGGAAGGATGGGCTTGTGTAGAGAGACATCATACAGATGGGGCAGGAAGATGGGTCTGGTCAGGTGGGAGAGCTGCCTTGCTTGGGATTTGACTGTCCCTGGGGACTTAGAGCTGATCTTGAGGAGACTTGAGGGAAGTATGTCTGGTCCTATTCGGAGGGTGGGTGACAGTGTGGGGGTTGGAGAGACGCGGGGGTGTGTGGAAACGGGAGGAAGGAGTTAGAGGAGCTGCCTCTTGTCAGCGTGAGGGTTGTGCTTCTTGCTCATATCACAGCTGAGCTACAAGGAAGGAAATTTCTGACGTGCCATGTCTTGTGCAAGCCCGTGGGAGGCCTGCCCCTTCCTGAATGGAGATGGGGGATTGGGTGGAGAGGGGGTAGATGGGAGTCTAAAAAACATTTAAGAAAAGGAAATTTCCAAACGGGATAAAGGGCCCGGCATCTCTGATCCATGCGTGATCCTACCAATAGGAGGAACCCAAGACATGTGACCAGAAGAGAGGTCGTGGGAGGCTCTGTGGCCAGGTGACTGTTCCTGATGCCTGTTATCCGTGGGTCATGCTCAGTCACTGTGTCTACCTGGGAAAGCAAATGAGGTCCCTCAGGTGGCCAGTGTGAACGCAGTTGATTTAATCAGCTCCTAGTATTATCTGCTCTGGTGGCTAGGGGGAGAAGGGGGCCCTAGGCAGTGGCCAAGGCATTGGAGAAGAGGGGACAGAGCCATTGTGTGGAAGAGTGGCAGGCGGGGACACAGTGAACAAAGCAAGAATCCCATACACTGCTGCATTGTTGGGGGTGGCATGGTGTGAGCCAAGCTACAGCTTCAGGTGCTCAAGGCTTCACACAGCCTTCCCAGGAATGCCTCATCCACTTGCTATGACTCATCATATGTTTTGGCTAACTTTAGTTGTATTGTGGGCTAATCAACAGTCTTCATGAAATTGTGGCATTCGCTAAAGTAGCTGCATGCAGAGGAAAATGTGTCCCAGCATCTTCTAGGACCATCTGATCTGGTCTGTCTGTTGACCAGCTTCCTGTGAAAACTCAGTCAGAAAATACTTCAGGACTTGTGGGTCGAGTCCAACATCTCCACTCAGCCACTGTATTGACTTGGGCGCTTGGTTGTGCTGCACCAAAATCTTCATTTTCAACAGCAGTTTGGGCTGGGTTTGCCCCCAGAATTGCCATGTGCCAGCTTCTGTGACATGATGTTGAGGAACTCCAGTGGAGAAGGTTGTTGGAAGGCAAGAGGAGGCACTCTTGGGGATGTCTAGTGTGACATCTGTGTGTGTGGTCCTGTGGAGCTGCCCAGGGAAGGTGAGGTAGAGATTTTGGCCCTGACTGTGATGACAGGGAGTTGTCCCAGACTGAGAGCGAATCACCTGTTACCTTTGTTAGGGAGTGGCTTGTGCATGCGGGGAAATCAAACACAGTGGGAGTGGACAGGATATTTATGGGAACACTGAGTGGATATCACCCTTCCATGGAGACAGTGAAAGGTGGGCAGAAGGGAAGGACATTTGTGAGTTAGGAAGGGTCCCCCAAACATGAAACATGGTAGGCGTGAAAAAAGAGAGAACACTGACCCAAGTGAAGATCCAGAAGAGCTGTAAGTAGGAAGTGTCCTGGACATGGGAGGTTGATGACTGTGCCAAAGAGGAGTGCCCAGGGAGCAGTAATGGGTGAGTTGTCTCAGGGGTGGGGGCTATCCGTACCTAGGAGGGTCATCATCAGAGCTGGAATAGTAATGAGGAAGGCAGTAGCTTCCCTTCAGCTTGGCCACCACAGTTGAGTCTGTAATGCTGAGACCTTTCTCCCACCACAGCCGAGGATTTCCTCAAATCTATCTAGAGGATACTGGTGCTGTCTGGGAGCCCATGCAGTGACTGTCTCCTTCTCTGCCTTCTCCACAGAAACTCCATGCTATTGATGTTCTGGACGGCGACACTGGCTATCCACCCCATGTCTACAGAGAGGAGGGAGAGTGTGAAGGAGCTGAGACCCTCAGCTCTCTGACCTTCTTGGAGCAGGACCTCCCTCCTGAGTTGCTGGACGACTTGAGTTTAAAATCTACTCCATCTGAAGCCATGTGTTCTGCATCAAGAGTTCCTTCCTAAAAGCATTTGGTGGGCATGACTTGGGAGGATGGCTACTCTCGTGGACGCCTCCTTTTGTTCTTCATTCTTAATGGCTTCCTAGTTCACAGTGGTTAGTGTTGCCAACTTGACCATCACTTGGGAGCCATCTGGGGGATATACCTCTGGCATGCCAGTGAGGGATGGTCTTGTTTTCACTGAGATTGGAAGAGGTGTTCACTGTGGGTGACACCATTCCTTGGCCGGGATGTGGAGGAAGCGAGCTGAGCATCAGCATACATCACTCTGTGCTTCCTTATTGTGAATAGTCTTGTGACTGCCACCTTGACTTCCTGACATGATGGGCTGTACCCTTGCACGGTGAGCCGGAACAAACCCTCTCCTTTAAGCCAGTTTTGTCAGAGTGTTTCATCACAGTGAGAGGGGAGGATGTAAGACACGGTCCTAGCCTGGGGCTCGGCCATGAATCCAAACTCAGTGTCTGGAAACAAAGCCAAACGGTGGGCTCTGTACTTTATAAATTTAATTCGTCCCCTTTTCTTGAAAGACGTAAATCAAATCGTGTGTTCTTTGCTTCTCTGGTGACCCACCTCTGACGGAGAGCGAAAGTTCAACCCATGGGTCACCTGGCTGTCTGCTGAGGAGGAAATTCTGGGGGGAGATGAACATGGGTTTTTAAAAGATTATTTACGTTTCTGTGATTGTCATTCTGCTTCCTTTTAAGTGGAGAAAGCTAATAAACGAGAAGAGTTTTCTAGAGTGTATGTAATGAGTACTTTCGGTGATTTTGAAAAAGATAACAGTCCTTTCCACGCTTTGATTAGCCAGCTATGTCATTTTGAGAAAAATAATTAAGCTTAAAATCATATAAACAGAACGTGCTTTGAGAATCTGAGGCACATCATGATTTAACTTCCTCCTGTTAGTATGGTAAAAGGATTTAGAAAACTTTGAAGGAATGGTTCTGGTTAGATTTCTGTTTAAACAGGACTATACCTTTTTACAGGGTTTCATTGTCCACTTAGTGTTCATGTAAACTGTATGGCAGAAGTGGGGTGGGGTGGGATAGGGTAGGAACAGTATTTTACAACTATTCACAAGGACATGTGCCCTTTTCAAAGTCTGAGCAGGTGTAAGTATTGACTCCACACAGCTGTCCTCTAACCTAAATGTATGTACGATGGCATGTGCACCCATGCACACACATCATGCATGCACACATAAAATACCTTTTTAAAAGAAAAAAAATTGGGGTGGGGGGAGTCTGAGTTACGGGCTAGGGTTGGTAAATCGTCATTTGATATTTCTAAACCTAAGCCAAGAGAAAGAAAATGACCACCATGGAGAATCTGGCCCCTTGTCTGTTCTTGTAAATAAAGGTTTATCGACACTCAGCCACACCTGTGGTGCCAGGCTGCTCTGGGCTCTGACAGCAAAGTTTCATAGCTACCATAGACACATCCAAGGCCAGCGAATCCCAGTATGCAGCCCTGGCTTCCAGGGTCTTCTGAGGAAGACGAGCTTGGCACCTTTCCTTCAGCGATCTTGCTGGAACTCCCAGCACACAGCAAACACTCTGATGCGTTGTGCCTTGTGCTAGGAACACCCCACTAGATGCTCCTGAGAGGTCTGAGTACGTGTGCCTCTGTGGCTGCTTCATCTCATTTCCCCGTGGTCTTGTGGTACATTTGCAAATTCCTGCCTTGTAAGATGCTCTCCGGCACATTGTTTCCAAAAGTAATAAAATACTCATGCGATATTCATGAGTGCAGACTCAGCAATTAATAAGGAGAGCAACGCCTTACATTGTGTAGATATTTAATTAGACATTTGTTAGCACCGATCTTGCCAACATTTTTAGGTATTTGTAAGACAGTTCCTCATATCCCCCATGCCACCAGCTCATAATGGCCATTTTCCCAGGCGCAGACCTTGGGGTCCTGACATCTAGCCCTGTTGGTGTCTTCACAGAAATTTCAGAAGTGTGCCTCAAGCCCAGCTCAGATGCCAGTTGGATACTGTCCTCTTCCTCTGCTGTTGCCTGCGGGAGACATTCCTGGATGCCATCTGGCTGTTTCTTCCCACAGGTTCATGTTCAAACATGAACAGAGGAGCCCTGGGCTCCATCCCCAGTGCCCCAAAGCAACCCCTAAAACAATGAAAGCTGCACCCTTGAGATGGTCCCTACTGGCGGCACCAGCACCGGGAGGTTTCGTTGAAAATCAGTCGCCTCCAGTGAAAATCCATCTCCTCGAGCAAGAAGCTCCTTGCTGGTGGCAGTGGAGTGTAAAATAAGGCAACAGTGGTAAATAGTTTCAGGGGAGCGGGCTTTTATTAGGAACCTTAGCTTCCGAATGACTTGCTAATCCAAAGTCACTGAAGTTAAAAATTCAGCCCATGCCTCATTTAATTAAATTAATTTATTTATTTGTGCACATAGTAACAGCCTGGGTTGTTGAACTCCCAGCTCAGGTGTATGCTCTGTGGACCTTTAGGATTGCTACATGCAAGAGAACTTGCCTTTGGAAAGTGTTCCTTTTCCTGGCATAGCACGCCTGCAATTCCAGCCCTGGAAGGGAGGACTATGAGAGCAGGAGGGGAGGACTATGAGAGCAGGAAGGGAGGACAATGAGAGCAGGAAGGGAGGACAATGAGAGCAGGAAGGGAGGACTATAAGAGCAGGAGGGGAGGACTATGAGAGCAGGAAGGGAAGTGAGAGCCTATCCAAAACACAAATGAGCAACTATGCAAGCAAACGCACACACATGCAAACAAAACCCCTCACTATGGTTTCCTTATTGACCAGGGAGACATCAGTTATGTCCCTGTGAAGAGTGCAGTGGCCCCCTTCACGGATGATCCAGCCAGCTAGCCAGGAGCCAGGGAAGCCCTGGGTGTGGGATATTTGTGAGATCGTATCTCTTCTGTAGACCACTGTCCACAAACTGGCCTGGCCATGGTCCCCTCTGCCCTAAAGAAGTGATTAGCATTCTGGAGGTTTAACTCCAAAGCCCTCAGGCTTTTCTTCATCAAGGATACTTGATGAAGGAACTAAGATTCAGGGGCTGCAGCAGGTGACTTATCTCCAAATGCACCAACATAGGCTACCTCTTCCTTCTCAGGAAAAGAACCCAGAATCCTGCTGTGCAGGAGCCATCCATTCTGGCAGTGACAGTTCCCATCCTCCAGCCAAATGCAGACCTGTGACTACACTCTGGTCCAAGGACAGCCACTTCTAGGAAGTGCCTTTGCAGGGTAAAGACGGTCTGTCTCGTCCCTGTCTTCTCTTCCTGGAGGCAGCGAGAGCATGTTGGTGGGAACTGGGGCAGCCATCCTATGTCTGGGTTCCAATGGTGACGGAATGGATGGGAGAGATTCCTTGACCCCCAGGGGTCTCACTCCTTCCCTTGCTTCCTCCCTGCCCCACACTGAGACTTAAAAAGAAGAATTAAATGCTCCTTGTTTAAGCGATTGCTGTTTTATAATTTCCACTGCTTGGGGCCAAATTGAGTTTTAGCTGACACAAAATACAGGAGAGAGTGGAGTGGAGCCACGAGCAGCAGAACGTAAGCATGTGGTATTGGCTTAATGGACGTGTCCAGGTGGCCGGGACTCAAACACAGTGCGAGCGAGCTGGTGACCCTCGCCACACAGAAACACAGCCTTGGATAACTCCGGTCCTTGGTGGTCTTTTGAAAAGCAGCCTGTGTTCTGGACAGGAGTGTAATAGGGAGCGGCAGGGGACATTCATGATGTAGGGCACATTAGTGGCTGCTTTTAGCACCATGCTAGGAGAGGGGTGGAGACTTTGCCTAACGCCGGCCAGGAGACGAGCAGGAATGAAAGAGACACAGCTGTGCTAATGGGGCTGCCGTGGCCAGCTCTCCAATCTGTAGCCACCAAGAGCTGGGCAATTTGGAGATTGAAAGGGTTGAAAACAGGGATTGCTGTGTTTTTCAAAGGACATCTGCCATCAAAGTGGTGTCTGCAAGTCAGTACACTTAGCAGAAAATAAAACCAGTGCCCCATCCCAATGGCTGGGGACCCATGCGAGTCCTTCCCAGCTGTGCCGTTGCTCAAGCTGGCTCAAAGTCAGTGCCAAGGTGCAGGGTAGAGACAGGCTGCCTACCATCCGCTTCTCTCTCAGGGGAACTGGCGGTGTCTGTCTTTGAAGATTCATGTGGAGTTGCATCAGACAGTGAGGAGACTCCGGCTTTTGTTCCATCCTCCTCTGGTGTGGACATCCTGTCCTCGTGGTAGTACCTGTGCATGTCTGTCTGTCCTTTGTCACCTCATCACCCACATCTTCACCCTCACAGACTGGGAAAGACTAACGCCCAAGCTGAGCCTGCAGCAAGCAGCCTCACCTCCCCTCTCTCCCAGCCCCTTGGTGGCCACTATTCAAGCCCGAGTTTCTAAAATTCTTTCATTTATAAGGTTATATACATGTGATTGTTTGGCTTATAATGTTTGGAGACAGGTTCCCTTTGATCTGCTGACTCCTCATGCCTGCCTTCTCCATGGAGATCTCGGGAGCCCTAAGGAGGAGCTGCCGGCTGCATTCCTAGCATCTTGCACTGCACAGGCATTCTGGTTTGCTGGCTGGGATGGGATGCACAGAGGAACAGGGGCTGGATGACCCGTGTCACAGAGGAAACAGGGAAGAAGGCACAGGAGGGCACGACCCAAGGATGAATCGGGAGTTCGCAGGCTAAGGTGATACAGGAAAGAGCATGTGGGGGTAAAATACAAGACATAGGACTCCAAGTGAGGCCACAAGCCCAAGAGTGATTTGTGTGGATAGTGTACTTCAGACTGAGAAGCGTGACTGGCAAGGGAGAAGTTCTGCATAGCCAGGCAGAGGGCGGGGCAGAGGGGACAGGGTTCTGTTGTTCTCACCCCAGCTCCAAGCATCTTGTTAAGTGTTTTCTTTTCCTTCCCTTCCCTTCCCTTCCCTTCCCTTCCCTTCCCTTCCCTTCCCTTCCCTTCCCTTCCCTTCCCTTCCCTTCCCTTCCCTTCCC